CTGCCGGCGGGAGCCTCGGGCGGGGGGACAGGTTTGGCAGAGTGCTGCCGAAGGTCACGGTGAGGTCTGTAAACACAGTGTTTGGCTTCTGACAGGAAGGTGTTGGCTTCCTAGTGTTGACACAAGCCTGTCCGAGAGGCCGCTCCTAGGGAGGCCGGAGTTGCTCTTGTCCCAGTTGGGGAAGAGGCTGCTCGAGGTCAGGAAATGACCCTTTGCTCCCGCTCCTGCGCAGATGGAAAAGAGATTCCCCCCGCCCTCCCTGTGGCCAGTGCGCCTTCCCGGCAGGCGTTTTTGGTCGGTACAGCACCCCTGTCGCAGCGGAGAAACCTGGCAGTGGCCGGGGCTGCATTCCCTCTCCATGACTCCGCGCGCTCCGTGTCCAAACTGGCGCAGTTTGGAGGGCGTCGTCACTGCACGAGCGCGGTTGTTTTGCTTCCCTGATGGCTCAGGCGTGGGCAGAGGAGACGGTCTGAGCACACACCGCTGCTGTACAAAGTCCGTTATCTTCTGGGAGGAAGGAACGGCCAAGGGAAAGCGAATGGCCGAGGAAACAGCCGTGTAAACTTCCTCTCCCGAATTCCGATCCGTGCTCGGAGTGTTCCCCTCTGGAGACAGGCCCTTGCCTTGCTGACTTGGCGGGGTTTGCATGTCCTCTTGCCACATCCCTGTTGAGGCCCTTCTGCCGTAGGGTCTCGGCTCACAGCGGAGTTGCTTTTCGGATGCAGGGAGATCCTGTGGGATCAGACATGGGCTTATAACAGCTCTGCAGTCCTGCCCCCTCCTTGCTCACTCGTGCAGCTCCTCACCTTCGGGGGTAGGTGATTCCCCTGTGTTTGGTTCCTCCAGCCACCGGCTCCTTGCACCCCACGTTCCTCTTCTTTCGGTTGCTGGATGAGCCCTGCAAGTCCCTTGAGTACAATTCCATCTCTGTGGAATTAAGCCAAACTGTGGAGCTCTTTATTCTGGTCTCCGATTGCTGCCGGGGTAGGTGAGGAGGAGACATGCCGACGGTGAGGGACGGCTGCTGGCTCCCGGACAGCCCAGCCTGTCTGTGCCACAATGTGCCCGCGGCTCTGGGAAGCTCCCAGAAGAACTCCAAATGTTAAACAGTCGGAGGGGTTTGAATCCAGGGCATTCAACCCCGTGGTTCCCCATGAAGATAAGAAACAACAAAACTCCCTTTTACAACATGTTTTCAGCCGTTTCCTATCGTTCCCCTCTCTCCCACCTTGCTCCTAGTTCCTGTGACACCAGAATAGATCCCCTTTGTGGAAACACTCTTCCTCTTCCGCTGTTGTTTCTGGGAGTCTCCAGAACAGCCTTCCAGTTGGAAAGTGCATTTCTGCCGGGGCGGTGGATTGTGTGAGGGGGAGGAAGCGGACGAGCTCCAAGCCGAGGGCAGCGGTGGCAGGGACCTGCTGACTCCGCTTTTGGCCTGAGCGGGATGGCAGGATATCTGCTCTTTGTGCGCCCACACGGCAAGGCACGGAGCAGATCTTACTTCTGTTTCCTCTGCAACATCCCTCAGGCCTGGCCTCTGCTCCCCGGCCACGACGTTCGTCCCTTGTCCGGAGCTGCAGCGCGTCCCACCAACCTTTTCCTTCTGCAGGCGTCTGTCTGTCTGCGGGGGGCTGCTGAGAACAGCGTTTCTGTGCGTCCAACTGCCCTGGACCATGTTTTGGGGCGATCCCCCTCGGCATGAGGAAGGAGAGGAAAACATTAGCCTCTCCTGGCAGCCCTGGGGATGCCAACATTTTAACGGCTCCTTTCAGTTTCGCTTCTCCCCTTTGCTTTGAGTTGTCTCCCCTTGGCAGGCTGGGAGAATTGGGGGGTTCAGCCTGGAGAAGGGAAGCTCCAGGGAGACCTTGGAGCCCCTTCCAGTGCCTGGGGGGCTACAAGAAAGCTGGGGGGGCTTTTCCCAAGGCAGGGAGTGACAGGACAAGGGGAGACGGGTTTAAATGGAAAGAGGGAGATGGAGATGGGACATCAGGAAGGAATTCTTCCCAGAGAGGGTGGGGAGCACTGGGACAGGTTGCCCAGAGAAGCTGTGGATGCCCCAACCCTGGGAGTGTCCAAGGCCAGGCTGGATGAGGCTTGGAGCAACCCGGGCTATGGAAGGTGTCCCTGCCCATGGCAGGGGGTGGGGCTGGGGGGGCTTTAAGGTCGCTTCCCATCCAACCCATTCCGTGATTCTGTGATTGCCCCGTGCAGCACGCGTAGCAGGTTGTTCTTGTTGGGCACGTGGTGGAAGAAGCGGTGTCCTCACCCCGGCAGCAGCACGCATGCAGCAGGGATGAGGGTGGGAGCTGGTGAAAAGCAGAGGAGAACCAGCCATGTCCAAGCTCCGGGCGCCGCGCAGGGCAGCCGGGAGGTGCAGAGCTGTGGTTTGCAGTGTTGTCTGGGATCCTGCAGAAATAACCCAGATCCTTGGCGTTTCAGGGAGCAGAACGCACTTTAAAAGAGACGGGGGGGGGAATTGCTGCGTCGCAAATGCCAATTTGCTGCAAACTTCCATCTTCTTGGCATTGCAGAGCCGTTTTGTCTTGCATCCTATGGTTTCTGTTGTTTCCATGGCCTGTTGGGAAAAGGAGCTTGTGGGGAGACCCGTGTTTCTAGTGGAGGGTGCCGCTTCTTGGACTCTTCCTGCAGCACGAGCCCTCGCAGACTTTCTCTTACCAGTCGTCCAGTACCGTTGACGTGCAACTGGGTTCCTTGGGAAGCCCTTACGTGACAGCTGCAGTGATTACCTCGGTAAAAACTAATACAGTAGAGCTGAGTTAAATCTCCCCAGTCGATGTGGCCAGCCAGCGATCCCTCGGCTCTTTGAACTGGTTCCGCTTCCGTCTGGAGGAGCGGGTGGGCGTTTGGCAGCCCCGGCACCGAGCACGGCGGACGTTCCTCTGCCCCTGTCACTGCTGCACGTCGTCTTGCTTGTCCTTCTCCAGTTATCCCATGAATCTCTCTCCCAGAGACCTGTCAAATCAGATTCTTTTAGATCAGTTTATCCTTAGTGAATAAGCTGTAGAAGCATCCTTTTTGGTGGTGGCCTCTTTCTCCTTTTTTGTTAGAGAAATTCAGGGCCCTTCCCTCCGCAGGACCCGGATTCTATCTTTCTATTCTACTTGCTTCCCGCTTTCTGGAAATCAGGGAGTTATTTCTTACCAACTCCTTGAGTGCTGGCCCCCAGGGCTTGTGTGTGGACATCTTGTTCTTGCTTTCACAAATTAAGTATTTTGAAACAGCGCCTTCAACCTTTTCGGGCTGTAAACAGGTTGGGCACCTCTGTTCTCCGCCTGATTTCACGGTCTTCTAACGTAGCTGCTGGAAATACCAGGGAATGAGTCTTTGCAGCTGGACTCTTGTCTGCCACGTGCATTTTTCTATCCTTACATCCTGTCCGCTTGCTTTGGAGCCCTTAGGATACAGGAGTTGCCTCTTCAACAGCTTCCGGTGTCTGAAAGTCTCGTTCATATGTCTCCATGTCCAAATACCTCAGCCAAAAGCTACTTCTACTTTCTCGCCTCTTCAGTTTCTCTCCTCTTATAATGACACGTGGGATTGCTCTGAGTTTGGAATTGTTTGGAGACCCTGTTTGCATGGGGAATGCCTTACGGAGCAGTGCCGCTTGTTTGGCTGTGCTAACTGGAGCTCTGGCGCCTTGTGCAGGTTATACTGTGGATCGGCCTGGGAATCCTGGTGATCAGTACGTACACCACCCTGTCTGCAACGGAAGACGCCCCTCTGAAGGCGGAAGCGGTGGGCTTGGATCGCCTGGACGGGGAGGAGAACAGAATTGCCCAGGATTCAGTCAAAATCCCAGGTATGTGTCTGCTTGAGTTGTTTCCCAGCCCTGCTCCCAGCTCCATCTCTCAATCGTGGAAGCAGGGGCATTTCCCAGCAGCTTCACAGCAGCCTGGGAGCTTTTCCCAAGAAAAGCAGCAGTTTTGCCTTCTGGAAGAGCCTGGTGTGAGCTCCCACGGTACCTGTGGGAGTTGTTCTTTTAGGGAGGGAGAGGTGGAGTGCAGGGAGGTTGGCTCCCCTGGGAGGATGGAGCCCGGATCTCCCGGTTCGGGGTGATAAAGCAGCTCTGTGTACGCAGCGACCGGCCACCTGTACGAGGGGTGCGAGTGGCCGAGCAGGGCTGCTTTCACCCTTCCTGCCAGCGCGTTGTCCGCCCTTCCAATCACAATCCATTCACTGCGCTCCAAGGTATGGAGATTTATGGGCACGGCCCCCTTTGTTTTTGGTGAGGGGGCGGGGGGAGTTGCGAGGGTATAAATTTGGATTGGGTTTGAGCTCTGACAAAGCCCGTGATTATGCCTCAGCTTTGTTTACTGGTTCCACATTATTTATTATTTGTTTACCGGGGCCGTTGATAGAATTACGGCCGGTCCCTGCCGTCCCCAGCTGCAGGCTCGCCTTGCAAGGCCATCGCTGGCAGGTGTCGCATGACCCCGCGCTGCCCCCCGTCTCTGCCTGCGTCCTGTTTCTTTTCTATTTCCCGTTGGGTCCTGCTCCTGCTTTTTTTTTTTTTGTTGTTGTGGGGTTTTTTTTTTCCCCTATTCTTTGTGGGCCTTGAAATATCCTCGCAGAGATTGAGAACGGAAGCGGGAAAGGGGCTGTCTCTTCTGGAGATTATCCTCCCTCCTGGTTGTTGGCTGTGTTCCTTGGAGTGTCTCCGAGACACCGGTGCTGCCGCCGATAACATTCACTCCGGGGTTGCTCCGTCGCTGGCAGCGGCGGGGTTTGATGCGTTCGTGGTTCACCCAAGGCGCGAATGCCTTCTCAGGCGCTAGGATACGCGCGAACTCTGAGCAACGAGATGCTCTCAATCCCTTAATCGTGCACGCTCAGCAGGGCTGGGAGGAGGGATGCGATTGAATTCTTCCGTCTTGGTTAATTTTGGAGCCGGTAACGGCCAAAGAACAGCTGCTTGTTTCAGGAGGAGCCGTTAGCGACACGTGTTCTGGTGACTGGGAAAATAAAACGAGTCCGATAAACGATGGTGTCCGCTGGAGTTTGCTAAATCTCTCCGCTTCTTCTCCGCGGGAGCCGGGGCGGCGGAGCAGGACGCCTGCGTCTCATCATTGCAGCGAGCGGTGGGCTCATCGCTCGCTCCGCTGTACCCACCGTGGGTGCCCCGAGCGCTTCGGCGTTCGTCCTCGTTGCTTGGGGCTTGGTGCTGGATTAATCCTACCTGGGAGGAAGGTGGTTTTAGTGCTTTTGGTTCATAAACCTTCTGGGGAGGCTCCAAATGTGCCGATGAGTGTCTGCCCCGGGGAGCGTCAGCTGCCTTCCCAGTACTGGGGGGCTGGTGGCTCTGCCCCGGGGAGCCGTGCCTGGCCTGGGTGCTCTGTGTCCTGGGAGGAGGAAGCGGGATGGAGCTGGGCAGAGGAAGGGGGACAGGGGACAAAGACCCCGCAGGGCAGACGGTAGAGCTGACCCGGGAGAGCCTCGGTCCCACTCCACTGCCACGAACCTCCCCGCACCTTGGACCCGTGCCTCCCTGTGCAGGATGTTGGCTTGACTAGCGATGAGAGGTGTTAAATGGTGCCCTTCTTCCCCTCCCAAGCTCCCCCCCATCATCCTCACCCGGCTTGTTTTCCAGAGGCGAGAGCCCGCAGCCTGGAAAACACTGCAGCAGCTGCATCCTGTTGCTCTGGGGCGCACAGGATGTGGGCTGCCCCCCGTCACCTGGGTGCCCTTGGTCGGTACCCCTCGCACGGGGCTTTAGCAGGGACATGGCTGCTGGCCGGGGGTACCCCCCGCGCGCCCTTTCCCCGGCCAGGGGTGCGCCCCCCG